CATCCAGAGTCAGGGACCTGAGGTTTCTGAGTCTACATGAAGATCCATGAGGAAGGGGCAGCGTTGAATGTCTGGGTGGCACTGAGGTCCCCTGAGAAGAGGTTTTCTTGCATTGGCTCATGTTCAGTGCCTACATAGAATGTTCCAGGCCACCTGTGTGCACCTGCATGTGTTAAGACACAGAGTAGCCATACATCATGACCAGATTTCAGTTTGATCCCTTGACTTCCTGGGGCTGAACCTTATTGTTCACCAAGTACCCAGGGCCGTCTTTCTCCATCAGCACCTGGAGAATCCCAAGGTTTCATCAGAAAGCCAGGTGAATCCATCACAGAGGACATCAGAATACTATCCTTGAGATTCCCTTCATTTCTGACTATTTATGGACCAGCCATGAAACACAATAGCTTCTTCCTGTGCCCATCAAGCCTGAATCCCCTTGTAGAAATCCAGGTCCCTGTGTATGTCTCTATGAAGACACATGTCCTGAAGGTCCTATCCTTGGGGGGATTCCCTCCAATGGAGCCCCCTGCTGCACCTTCCTTTCCCATCCACACCTCAGGCAGTGTCTGAAATGGTGGGCTCTGAGTTCCCTCTGAGGTGACCTTACATCCTGGTTATACCTCCAATTGCCTAGAAGTATGCTTTTGAAACACACCCAACTAGACAGCTGTTGGACAGGAACAGTGAAGGAGGCCCTGGTTGTAGAGGAACAAGCTACCACATTGAGGACATGGGACAGTACAGAACACAAGGACCTTTGGCTGCCTAAAGTCTCTCACTATTGCTGTGAGCTCAGCACAGAGTTGGGAACATCTCCCTGGGGGGATGGCACCCTGGGCATCATAGCTCTCTAGAGGGGCAGGGTACAGCTCTATGCTCATCTGGCTCAGCCTGGAAGTGTGAAGCAGCAGGTCCCTTAAGGCTGACATGGAGATGCGGTTCCCATGGAAGCTCAAAACCCTGATCTGGGAGCAGCGTCTCAGGACAGGCAGCAGGGCCTGGAGCTGGGAGTCAGTCATCCTGCAAGTTTCCAAGTCCAGGCTCTTCAGGGTGGCTGCAACAGTCTCCAGCAGAATTTTGAGGGGCTCTGGACTGAAATTGGTCAGTTTTATGCCCCTCAGTTCCAGGTGTCTGAGCTGTCTGGTGTTTGGAAATCGGGAAAGATAATTCCAGTCAGAATCTGACAGCCGGCAGTTGGTTATTGAGAGAGTCTTCAGGGGGGTCTTCGGGTGCCTAAGGAGAAACCAGACAGTTAGTTCTGAGGAACAATGTCACGGTGGGAGAAGACAAATTGGCCCAAACCCAAAGTCACCCTGGTCATCAGACAATGGTCCACACTTAGGATGCTGCCTCTTGTAGAATCTGGTCATTCACATCACCCCATGTCAGGGCGAGGTTCACCATCACTCCTGTGACCAGATGGGTACACATCTCTATGGCTCCTTTCCTCACTGCCAAGCAGAAGGGCACAGCTCTGTGCACAGGAGGAAATGGGGAGTCATCTACAAAGGATAAACTCAGGCAAGATGAAGGAAACCCACGGGGGTTGTCCACCTGCGAGGCTCACACCCTGTACCCTCCATCCCTGCTCCTCACCCTCAACCCCAGAATCACCACCTGAGGCTCAGAGCAGCCTTCTCCAGGGGGGCATTAGAAGCAGCTCCTCTGCTACCCTCTGGAGAGCACAGAGCTTCCCTGTCGCAAGGTGCAGGTGAGGGGGCTTCCCTCCTCCAGCGCCCTCTCCTCTACCCCGTCTCCCACCACCCTCGCTGGATAGGCCTCCCAAAAAAGGAACCTCACCCACCCTCTCTAGCTCCTGTTCTCCCCAGCTGGCTTCCAAGCAGAGTTATGCTTCCGAGACCACGGACCCTGGTTTAGCCCTTTGCTCTAACACAGGTTAGGAGATGGAGCTTCAGGATACAAAAGGGACAGATGAGGGGTTATTTACCTTCCAGTGTCTTGTTCACCATGAGAGTGTCAGTGGCTGGCACACAGTAGGTGCCCTTTCAGATTTACTGATACTGCTCTGCAGAAGATGCTCACCCCCCTTACTCACCCCAGCACCTGCTCCAGGTGGCCCTTGAGGAGGAGGACAGCATCCACATGGAACTTCCGCAGGCAGTGCATCCTGAGGAACTGCGAGGTGAGCTGGGCCAGCAGCCGCTCCTGCTCCTCTGGGGAGGTGTGGGCAGGCACGCGGACCTGGGAGACCAGCAGCATCCTCAGGTTCCTCATCTGGCCCAAGAAAGGAGCACAAGCAGCCAAGGTGGAGGGCGTCCAGGTGCAGTGCACTTCCACCTTCTGGACAGAGTCCAGCTGCAGCAGTCTCAGGACCTTCCTGGTGTGGTGGGTGGGTTTCCCACAGATCTTCAGCCTCTCGCAACACAGGTGTACCATGTCCCTTCTCTGTGTGACCCACAGGAACAAGTGGACCTGGAATTCATCCAGGGGCCTTTCTGTGAGGCACAAGTCTATGACTACCTTCAAGGGTGGCTTAGCTGCCATTGCTGGACCATGTTTCAATTTTCAATTCTTCTTCATGGCCTCTGGTGAGCGGGCATCGACCATGGCTCCAGACCACGACCTCCAGAAGTTCCCATGAACCTTCCACAAATCCAGCACCTGCGGTTTCCACCTCCTGCGGGGACCACAGCAGAGTCTCAGCCCTGAGGCCCCTTCCTTCCCCTCTGCAGAGTAGCTACGACTTTCTGTAGCAGAACTTGGAGGGGCACAGGACTTAAACTGGACATCTTTTGGAGGAAGAGGGACTGGGAATTGAACCCAGGGGTGCTCTAACACAGACCTACATCCCCAGTCCACTTCCTTTTGTATTTTGAGACAGGATCTTGAGAAGTTGCTGAAGCTGTTTTGGAACTTCTGATCCTCCTGCCTCAGACTCCTGAGCTACTAGTATAAGAGGTGTTCACCTCCACACCTGGCTTTAAATTTTATTGCCATCAAGATTCAGCTGTCTGATACCCAGGCCCCAACTCTGATTCCAAGTACAGGGAGTTAGTAATTGAGAGGGTCTGGTGGGAAGGGTTGCC